CTCTGGGAACACATTGTACATATTGTTGTATGTCTTTTGCCCAAATTAAATTAAATGAATACGAATCTGATACACATTGTTAGTAAAATACACAACTAGCCAATACTCCCACAATGCTCCATTAGCTACAGTATCAACTGCACTATCCCTTAATCCCACAGATGACATCATGTAGTCATGTCATGGGTTCACCTGGTCCTCAAAAGGAAATACTGTCAGTGACCTATGACATTTACATTTTAGTCATTTAGCAGACGCTCTTATCCAGAGTGACTTACAGTTAGTGAGTGCATACATTATTTTATTATTTCTTTCATACCCCCCATGGGAATCAAACCCACAACCCTGGCGTTGCAAACACCATGCTCTACCAACTGAGCTACATCCCTGCCAGCCATTCCCTCCCCTACCCTGGACGACTTGTGCGCGTCTGGGTCTCCCGGTCGCGGCCGGCTACGACAGAGCCTGGATTCGAACCAGGATCTCTAGTGGCACAGCTAACACTGCAATGCAGTGCCTTAGACCACTGCGCCACTCGGGAGGCCTCATCATCGTTTCTGAAATATTAGCTAATACTCGTTCACTGTTTAGTCATTATGTCTAAATATCTCACATGACAACACCCTTGGCAAAAGCCAATCTCTCTCTGGCTCCAGAATTGAAGGAGTTCCGCTGTTGAGGATTTGTAACAGGGCAATTTACTGTAGACTGTCTGAAAACAGACAACGTAGTACAATGAGTCAGCCAGAGGTTAGGAAACAACCGTAATGAGTGTCTGACTTGGCTTTAGCCAGGCAATAGTCTCCCTAGAGTCTAGACCAGGGCTGTCCATATCATTCCCTAGAGTCTAGACCAGGGCTGTCCATATCATTCCCTAGAGTCTAGACCAGGGCTGTCCATCTGCTAGTTTAATTATTTCCTTCCAGTTTGTGTCCAATTAAGACCTACAGTACCAGGGGTGTATTCATTATGCTGATTCTGTTGCAAAACGTTTTGCAACAGAAATCGTTTACTCCAAATGGAAAACGTTTTGCAACGAAAAAAACAAGAGTTTATATTCGACAAGTTCAGGTAGGTCCCTCCCCATTTGCTTCTGTTTGATTCTTAAACTGTAAACGGTTTTCGTTGCAAGACGTAATGAACACACCCCAGGTGAGGTTAGTTCTTAACTCAGGGTTTCCCAAACTCGGTCCTCGGGACCCCAAGTGGTGCATGTTTAGGTTTTTTGCCCTATTACCACACAGCTGATTCAAATAATCAACTAATCATCAAGCTTTGATCATTTGAATCAGCTGTGTAGTGTTAGGAGCAAAAACATGTACCCCTTGGGTTCCCTAGGACCAAGTTTGAGAAACACTGTCCTAACTAATCAGTGACCTTGAAGTGATCAATCAAGTACAAGGGAGAAGTGAAAACCTGCAGACACTGCCCTCCATGGAATGTGTTTGACACCTAATTATATAACATAGGAACTATGGGGGCGGCAGGTAGCTTAGTGGTTAAGAGCGTTGTGCCAGTAACCGAAAGGTCGCTGGTTCTAATCCCCAAGCCAACTAGGTGAAAAATCTGTCAATGTGCCTTTGAGCAAGGCACTTAACCCTTATTGCTCCTGTAAGTCGCTCTGGATAAGAGTGTCTGATAAATGATTATAATGTAATGTAACATTTTAATGTAACTGGAATTAAACTGTACTGATACACACTGTACTTCATTTAAATTACCCTTTCGTGATCAGTCTGATGAAACCAAACAACTAAAGCTTGTTCACATGTTTTATTTTATTTGTTTTTGTCGTCAGGTAAAAGCAGACAGAGAAGAAGAGCTTTAGTCTGTGACAGCGTGCAGCTTCAGGGGTCCCGTCTGTCCGCACTGAGAGCCTGAGGTAGAAGTTGACCTTAACCACAGATCTAGGATCAGATTTCCCTCCATCAAACCAAACCTAGGGCAACACCGGAACATTAAGACAATACTGACTTTAGATAATTCTCTAGTCAACTTCAACCCCCTCTCCTACTCAGTTGGACTGGGTTAGTAGTAGGGTTTCTCTAGTCAACTTCAACCCCCTCCTACTCAGTTGGACTGGGTTAGTAGTAGGGTTTTGCTTTCCCAGAAATCCCGGTTGGAGGATTCTCCGATTTCCTGCGTATACCTCATATTTCCAGATTTCCCGGAAAACACAGGAAAAGTTCTGGGAATTTTGCAACCCTAACACCAACCCTCCATCATCTGGTCTACGTAACGCTGTCATAACAATAACAGGTCTCATTAACAGTCATAACAGCTATAAACAGTCATAACAGCTATAAACAGTCATAACAGCTATAAACAGTCATAACAGCTAGCCGTGTGTACGACCACTGACTTAACATCCTACTGTCATGACACAAACCCAGATTTGAGCTAAGCTACTTGGCTAGTTTCTATAGATATTGGAGGTCAGCTATTTGGCTAGTTACTATACAAACCAACACTTAGCGACCTCTTCAAAGTGTTATAATCTCTTGGCGTAACGACTAAGGTGTTGGGTTGACAGTCGCTGGACCTGTGTTTGAGTGCGGTTGGGGTACCCCCTGAATTCACTACAATTTGGCTATACCAAGCTAATGAGCTGCCCTAAACAGTGATATGTCATAACAGGGATGAGTCAGATAACGTAGGGGGTAAGTTAGGTGACATAGGGGGTAAGTTAGGTGACATAAGCTGTACGTCTACTGGTTCCTATATGCTCATCTCTACCTTGGCATAGCGTTGTCATTAGGAGGTCAAATGGTGACGGCCCCAGCAGTGGCTCGGTGCATTTCATTACCGTCTAGGTAGGGCACAGGTGTCAAACTCTTTCCACACCTGGTTGTCTAGGTCTTAGTAAGGAACTCCCCTCACCTGGTTGTCTAGGTCTTAGTAAGGAACTCCCCTCACCTGGTTGTCTAGGTCTTAGTAAGGAACTCCCCTCACCTGGTTGTCTAGGTCTTAGTAAGGAACTCCCCACACCTGGTTGTCTAGGTCTTAGTAAGGAACTCCCCTCACCTGGTTGTCTAGGTCTTAGTAAGGAACTCCCCTCACCTGGTTGTCTAGGTCTTAGTAAGGAACTCCCCTCACCTGGTTGTCTAGGTCTTAGTAAGGAACTCCCCACACCTGGTTGTCTAGGTCTTAGTAAGTAACTCCCCTCACCTGGTTGTCTAGGTCTTAGTAAGGAACTCCCCTCACCTGGTTGTCCAGGTCTTAACTGAAAGGAAAAACAAGAAACCTGCAGACACTAGGCCCTCCATGGAATGAGTTTGACACCCTTGATCTAGGGGCTGTATCCTAACTTTTTATTTATTTATCCTATATTTAACCAGGGAAGCCACAATGGGACATTTTACTTTTAAGTGAGCCCTGGACTTGAGGTCTGTCTGTGCACTTTACTTGCATATCAAGGCACTGCTCTCCCATTGACTTTCAATGCATGATTTAGGCAGAGGTCACAGAGTTTAGGGATGTGTATCAGAAAGTTAGGATTCAGCCCTGTGAGTATAATGACATAAATGGCTTGGTACATTTCATGACCAATAAATAATAACCACCATTAAGGCCTTGGGCTAAAGGAGAACAGTAACATCTATATGTGTAACAAAGTGTTCCCCCCAAAACACTCTCCATTTAATTTAAATCCAGAGGCGTTATGCTTACATGTTCATTTATGTTCCTGCTTGTTACATTATCAGCTAGCAATCATTATTTTTAAATGACCGGGAGCACACAGCTGACATCAAATGAACATGCAAGCACATTAATATAAGGTTCAGTGTTGTTCTTCTTGGAAATATATGGACTAAAGGAATCAGCAGGAAGCGCCGTTTTCAGTCAATCAGTACATAGAGACACATAAGGATGAGCTTATTGTAAAAGGAGGAGGTGCTTACAGCACAGATGCATTACAAGTCATGGTTAACTACCTTAACAATAATGATTTTACGTTGCCTAGAATATTTTTTTTTTTGTTGAACTCAAACCAGACAACTTTTGAGAACAGTCTAGCTTCTCTCGACGGGTTTGGAGGACTTGAGTGGTTCATGTCAATAACAGAAAGGGACATAAGTAACTGATTATTATTAGTTTGTTCCTTATACATAATAATGTTAATTTGATCAATGAACATTCGTTGAGGAAGAAAGACAACCAGGAAGCATAATAAATCAAACTCTGGGCTAGTTTGGCTTGCTGACATTACAATTAGACAGAATACAGACAGAGATATAGATGTTCATGTTTTTGCATAAACAGTCAACATATGATATATGAAACATTCCTTTTGAACGAGCTTATTAGAGAGAAACATGGGATGATTCATCATCATCATCATCCGCCGTCTTTGGGTTTACCTGAGATTCCATTTGTCCCTCAGGGTTGGACTCTAAACACTGACCGGACTACTTGAATGATCCCAAAGTCTAACCAGGTTACTAAGATCAGGTCAAAGACACTCAAGCAAAGCAGAGAAGGCATCCTCACGTTGATATTGACACCATCGTCACACCAAAAGATCAACCAAACCCACCTCGCTCGCCTCAACCAGACACACCTGTCTCACCTTACCAAACACACCTGACCTGCAGGTTCAAAACATTCATTTCTCACTCCAGTCCATTATTACGCAACCACTCGTCAAAACCTTTAAAAAGCACGTAGCAAAGAAAAAGTCAAAAAGAAAGGCCGTTTAGCTTCTAGAGGGGGAGATATATCCACTTTTACACCCCTATTCCTTCTAAGGAGTTCTCTTTCGTTTTAAGACTGTCTTGGAATGCACTATATAGAGAGCTAGAGATAAATATTGGCATTACTATAAAGCATGATTACTGTATAGACAGTGGCCTCCCTACCACTAGAGGCACCGGAGAGAGCTGTAGCACCCTTTTCAACTATTAACACTGACTGTCATAGCCCCTGAGGACACTCAGAGCGGCCATTCTTTTTTTGTTATATGCCGTTATATATTCAAATCCACGCTCTCCCATTGGTCACTCCTCGTCCACCGTCTCCCTTTTCGATTCGTCAGCTTTCTGTTCCAGAACCTGAGGGGCGGGGCTTGGAGGTGGAAGGACCTCGACGGCAGCCAATGAGGAGGGGTCTTGTAGATCAAGGTCCTTCCTGGAAGAGATCTCTTCCTGTGAAGGAAAAAGGTAAGAGTTTATTCTAACAGATGACGCAGATGCTAAGCTACAGGACTGTTTTGCTAGCACAGACTGGAACATGTTCAGGGATTCTTCAGACAGCATTGAGGAGTACACCACATCAGTCACTGGCTTCATCAATAAGTGCATCGATGATGTCGTCCCCACAGTGACCGTACGTACATACCCCAACCAGAAGCCATGGATTACAGGAAACATCCGCACTGAGCTAAAGGGTAGAGCTGCCGCTTTCAAGGAACGGGACTCTAACCCGGACGCTTATAAGAAATCCCGCTATGACCTCCGACGAACCATCAAACAGGCAAAGAGTCAATACAGGTCTAAGATTGAATCATACTACACTGGCTCTGACGCTCGTCGGATGTGGCAGGGCTTGAAAACTATTACAGACTACAAAGGGAAGCACAGCCGCGAGCTGCCCAGTGACACAAGCCTACCAGACGAGCTAAACCACTTCTATGCTCGCTTCGAGGCAAGCAACACTGAAGCATGCATGAGAGCACCAGCTGTTCCGGACGACTATGTGATCACGCTCTCCGTAGCCGATGTGAGTAAGACTTTTAAGCAGGTCAACATTCACAAGGCCGCAGGGCCAGACGGATTACCAGGACGTGTACTCCGAGCATGTGCTGACCAACTGGCAAGTGTCTTCACTGACATTTTCAACATGTCCCTGACTGAGTCTGTAATACCAACATGTTTCAAGCAGACCACCATAGTCCCCGTGCCCAAGAACTCTAAGATAACCTGCCTAAATGACTACCGACCCGTGGCACTGACGTCTGTAGCCATGAAGTGCTTTGAAAGACTGGTCATGGCTCACATCAACAGCATAATCCCAGAAACCCTAGACCCACTCCAATTTGCATACCGCCCCAACAGATCCACAGATGATGCAATCTCTATCGCACTCCACACTGCCCTTTCCCACCTGGACAAGAGGAACACCTACGTGAGAATGCTATTCATTGACTACAGCTCAGCATTCAACACCATAGTGCCCTCAAAGCTCATCACTAAGCTAAGGATCCTGGGACTAAACACCTCCCTCTGCAACTGGATCCTGGACTTCCTGACGGGCCGCCCCCAGGTGGTAAGGGTAGGTAACAACACATCTGCCACACTGATCCTCAACACGGGGGCCCCTCAGGGGTGCGTGCTCAGTCCCCTCCTGTACTCTCTGTTCACCCATGACTGCATGGCCAGGCACGACTCCAACACCATCATTAAGTTTGCCGACGACACAACAGTGGTAGGCCTGATCACCGACAACGATGAGACAGCCTATAGGGAGGAGGTCAGAGATCTGGCCGTGTGGTGCCAGGACAACAACCTCTCCCTCAACGTGACCAAGACAAAGGAGATGATTGTGGACTACAGGAAAAAAAAGAGGACTGAGCACGCCCCCATTCTCATCGACGGGGCTGTAGTGGAACAGGTTGAGAGCTTCAAGTTCCTTGGTGTCCACATCACCAACGAACTATCATGGTCCAAACACACCAAGACAGTCGTGAAGAGGGCACGACAAAGCCTATTCCCCCTCAGGAGACTAAAAAGATTTGGCATGGGTCCTCAGATCCTCAAAAAATTCTACAGCTGCACCATCGAGAGCATCCTGACTGGTTGCATCACCGCCTGGTATGGCAACTGCTTGGCCTCTGACCGCAAGGCACTACAGAGGGTAGTGCGTACGGCCCAGTACATCACTGGGGCAAAGCTCCCTGCCATCCAGGACCTCTATACCAGGCGGTGTCAGAGGAAGGCCCTCAAAATTGTCAAAGACTCCAGTCACCCTAGTCATAGACTGTTCTCTCTGCTACCGCACGGCAAGCGGTACCGGAGTGCCAAGTCTAGGTCCAAAAGACTTCTCAACAGCTTCTACCCCCAAGCCATAAGACTCCTGAACAGCTAATCATGGCTACCCGGACTATTTGCACTGCCCCCCCCACCCCATCCCTTTTACGCTGCTGCTACTCTGTTAAGTATTTATGCATAGTCACTTTAACTCTACCCACATGTACATATTACCTCAACTAGCCGGTGCCCCCGCACATTGACTATGCAACGGTACCCCCCTGTATATATAGCCTCCCTACTGTCACTTTATTCTATTGTATATATAGCCTCCCTACTGTCACTTTATTTTTTACTTCTGCTCTTTTTTTCTCAACACTTTTTTGTTGTTGTTTTATTCTTACTTTTTTGTTTAAAATAAATGCACTGTTGGTTAAGGGCTGTAAGTAAGCATTTCACTGTAATGTCTGCACCTGTTGTATTCGGCGCATGTGACCAATAAAATTTGATTTGATTTGATTTGATTTGATAGTCATGCTGACCAGACTGAAAAATTAAACATGTTACTCAATCATTTCATCCAATCTGCTCGCGCGCGCACTACAAGTCCCGCCTCCCCCATCTACTCATTGTTTTTTTTTTTACGAGTATATACCCACGTGGGTGATTGAAAGATGAACGAGGTCCACACTCCAGTCGGTGGCGGTAATGCAAGCTAGCCAAGTGTCCATGAACATTTCATATGTGTTTTGACCTGTCCCCAAACTAATATAGTTGGTTCACAGTTGCTTTTTTGTATTTTAACCTGCATGTCATGAACATCTGGTGAGGATAGACAAAACCATTTGGTCATCATGTTACAGTGTATTGTACAGTTGACAGTGTATTGTACAAGTTCAATGATAAGTGGTTTAGTATTAAAATTCCCTGACTGGATTGTTGATTCACTGACCCAACTGCTCTATGAATCGTTGATTCACTAACTCACCTGCTCTATGAATCGTTGATTCACTAACTCACCTGCTCTATGAATCGTTGATTCACTAACTCACCTGCTCTATGAATCGTTGATTCACTAACTCACCTGCTCTATGAATCGTTGATTCACTAACTCACCTGCTCTATGAATCGTTGATTCACTAACTCACCTGCTCTATGAATCGTTGATTCACTAACTCACCTGCTCTATGAATCGTTGATTCACTAACTCACCTGCTCTATGAATCGTTGATTCACTAACTCACCTGCTCTATGAATCGTTGATTCACTAACTCACCTGCTCTATGAATCGTTGATTCACTAACTCACCTGCTCTATGAATCGTTGATTCACTAACTCACCTGCTCTATGAATCGTTGATTCACTAACTCACCTGCTCTATGAATCGTTGATTCACTAACTCACCTGCTCTATGAATCGTTGATTCACTAACTCACCTGCTCTATGAATCGTTGATTCACTTGCTCTGCAAAGTCCTGTGGTTCCAGCTCCTCCCCGTTGGATTGACAGCTCGGGCTGGGAACCTCGATACCATGACTCTCCAAGATGGCTGCCTCTGACGGGGAGAAGGAGAGAGGGAGAAGGAGAGAGGGAGAAGGAGAGAGGGAGAAGGAGAGAAGGAGAAAGAAAGCGGACAAAAAGGTGCAAACAGGAAAGAGTGAAAAATAGATCAAGAAGAGGGGAAATGCTGTCCTTTATCCACTGCAGCATCTAGCAACATGTAGCTCTAGCCCTCTACCAGTGGATCCATCTCCTAGATCAACATGTAGCTCTAGCTCTCTACCAGTAGATCCATCTCCTAGATCAACATGTAGCTCTAGCTCTCTACCAGTAGATACATCTCCTAGATCAACATGTAGCTCTAGCCCTCTACCAGTGGATCCATCTCCTAGATCAACATGTAGCTCTAGCCCTCTACCAGTGGATCCATCTCCTAGATCAACATGTAGCTCTAGCCCTCTACCAGTGGATCCATCTCCTAGATCAACATGTAGCTCTAGCCCTCTACCAGTGGATCCATCTCCTAGATCTGAAAAGATCAGGTAGACATAAGCAACATGGTGAAAATACCACCTAGCCTAACAATGGCTAATGTTGACCTATTACCAGTGGTGTAAAGTACTTAAGTAGTACTTTAAAGTATTTTTACTAAAGTAGTTTCTTGGGGTATCTGTACTTTACTATTTATATTTTTGACTACTTTTACTTCACTACATTCCTAAAGAAAATAATGTACTTTTTACTCTATACATTTTTCCCTGACACCCAAAAGTACTCGTTACATTTTGACAGGAAAATGGTACAATTCACACACTTATCAAGAGAACATCCCTGGTCATCTCTACTGCCTCTGATCTGGCAGACTAATTCAACACAAATGTTTCGTTTGTAAATGATGTCTGAGTGTTGGGAGTGTGCCCCTGGCTATCCGTCAATAAAAAATAAAATAAATAATGGTGCCGTCTGGGTTGCTTAATATAAGGAATTTGAAATTATTCACACTTTTACTTTTGATACTTAAGTACATTTGAGCAATTCCATTTACTTTTGATACTTAAGTATATTTAAAACCAAATACTTTTACTCAAGTAGTATTTTACTGGGTGACTTTCACTTTTACTTGAGTCATTTTCTATTAAAAAGTATCTTTACTTTTACTCAAGTAGGACGATTGAGCACTTTTTGCACCACTGTCTATTCCCATAATGCTGACACCTATCCAATGTTTTCTGGTCTACGGAATGTGCCTAGGTGTTAGGGATTGTGGGTGTTTTGGTATTGGAGATTCTTACCTATATTAGCCCGTCTCTTCATCTCTTTCCGGCGGTTGGCGAACCAGTTGTACACCTTCAGAGCCGTGACACGCTCAAACTCAGACAGCTTGCATCCTGGGTAATGGTGACAGAGAGATGGACAAGTGAATACGTGAAATAGGGTGAGGTGCTCCTTCTTCGTGCTAAATTGAAAGCCTTTTGAACATAGGATTTGATTGGTATTAAAACTAATAAGTCGTTTAAAGGGGCATAAGAAAAAAGGGTAGATATGAGTTCATGATAATTGGGTTTAGAATAAAGACATTGGTTACAGGTGTGTTGGTGAGCTGTGCTCGGACCAAACTGACCAGGTTTCTGGACGACTGAGTTGCAGGCGTTAGCGATCTCCTCTCTCTTCGCCTCGTCAGGGTACTGGTTCTCCATAAAGAAACTGACAGACAACAACCAGCCAATAAGAACACTGTTAACACCCCCCCCCCCCACTCATGGCATTAACCAATCAGAAGCTCTCATCATAGTGGAGGAAGGAAGGAGAAAACATCCAGCCAATGAGAGCTCAGCTAGATTAGCTTTGTATCACTTCAGCCAGTAGTTTTGAAAGTAGTGCGCCAAAACGGCTCCCGGACAATTCTGTACTGCGTCATCTATTTCCTGTGATATGTTACATCCTGCAAAAATAATAATCATTGCAATTCGTATATATGTTACAAATTTGTAAATGCTTAAGATCCTGGACTGCATCGTTAACCAATCAGAAGTGGTACAGTGGATTAAATGGACACAGGTGGATTACTCTCCCTTTCTCTCCTCTTCTAGGCAATAAATAAAAATCACCTTATTTTACAAAAACAGGAAGATATATTGCACCACTTACTCCTCACCCTCCATCTCTCTCTCTCTCCTTCCTTACTCCTCACCCTCCATCTCTCTCTCTCCTTCCTTACTCCTCACCCTCCATCTCTCTCTCTCTCCTTCCTTACTCCTCACCCTCCATCTCTCTCTCTCCTTCCTTACTCCTCACCCTCCATCTCTCTCTCTCCTTCCTTACTCCTCATCCTCCATCTCCCTGTCTGAATAATAATCACTTCACAAATAAACAGTAGGAGCACTTGCTCCCTCCATCACCCTCTCTCTCTCTCTCTCTCCCTCCCTCACCCCCTCCATCACCCTCTCCCCTCCATCACCCTCTCCCCTCCATCACCCTCTCCCTCCCTCCATCACCCTTTCCCTCCCTCCCTCCATCACCCTTTCCCTCCCTCCCTCTCCCTCTCTCCCCCCCTCTCTCTCCCTCTCTCTCCCTCTCCCTCCCTCTCTCCCTCTCTCTCTCCCTCCCTCTCTCCCCCTCCCTCTCTCTAACCCACAGTATCGTCCGTCAGCGGGACGGGAGTGTAAACTAGCCCCTAAAGAGAAACAGCACTGCAGTGGCATTGCGTCATCCATAGAGCTGTGTTCTACGTGCCTGTGTGTTCTCATTACTGAGAGTGTCCTCCGCTTAGAGACATCACAGGCATAACAGTCAACCACTTCAGAAACAGTGGGACAAAATCATTCCTATACTTAGGATGTGCTTGGCTTTTTATAGGTTAGAAATTCGTTATAAAGAATAACATTTTCTAAGACATGTCACAAAGGCCTTGATGGGAAACATCTTGTTTGATGGGAAACATCTTGTTTGATGGGAAATATCTTGTTTGATGGGAAATATCTTGTTTGATGGGAAACATCTGGCCCCATCAGTAACATCAACAGACTCAACCACTAATGGTTAGTGTTGGGCTAGAACAAAAGCCTGGACACCCCATAGCTCTCCATGAGAAGGTTTGTTGACCACTGGCCTTGCAGTAATTGTGATGAACCAGTTTTGGATCTGTCTGTTGACAACAAGCGTCAACATAGATAGTCGGCTAGTCAAATGTAAACACCGCACCACTATTGTCATGGGAACCCGATCCAATCAGAGCCCTGTAATTGGCTCACCTCTCCATGATTGACTGGCACTCCTTCCTCCAAATGAATCTGCTTCCCCTCCGCAGCCTCAGAGGACCGCCCACCACCCCGCCCCTCTCCCCGGGGCTGAACCCCGTCCTCCAATCAGGCTCCTCCTTCACAAGGGAGCGCATCGAGAGGGTAGCACCTAAATGGGGAGGTGAGAGAAAGGGGGGGAGGGGAGAGAAAGGGGGAGGTGAGAGAGGGAGAGGTGAGAGAGAGGGGGGAGGTGAGAGAGAGGGGAGAGTGGGGAGAGAGTGGGGGAGGTGAGAGAAAGGGGGTGAGGGGAGAGGGGGGTGAGGAGAGAGGGGGGGGAGAGGGGGAGGTGAGAGAAAGGGAGAGGTGGAGGAGAGGGAGAGGGGGGAGAGAAGGAAGAGGTGAGAGAGAGGGAGAGGGGGTGAGAGAGGGGGGAGAGGGGGATGTGAGAGTGGGGAGGGAGGAGAGAGAGAGGGGGAGGTGAGAGAGGGAGAGGTGAGAGAGAGGGAGGGGGAGGTGAGAGAGGGAGGGAGAGGTGAGAGAGGGAGAGGTGAGAGGGGGAGGTGAGAGAGGGGGAGGGAGAGGTGAGAGAGGGAGAGGTGAGAGAGGGGGGAGGTGAGAGAGGGGGGAGGTGAGAGAGGGCAGGGAGGTGAGAGGGGGTGAGAGAGGGGGGGAGAGGGGGATGTGAGAGTGGGGAGGGAGGAGAGAGAGACGGGGAGGTGAGAGAGGGCGGGGAGGAAGCTTAAACAGAGAAAGTAACCCATTGCAACTAGCAAACTAGTGGTTTATTATTATTTAGGAGAAATAACTTATCGTTCAAATCACTTGACTGTTCTATTTTAATAAGGATTTGGTAACTTTTAGGATACATGACATCCCTAGACTGCCAGTGAATTCCCAGATAGACACTGGGGAGGCACAACGTGGACACAGAGAGACATGCATGCAGGCTCTGTGATGACAGGATGTATCAGACAGACAGGGGGCCTTGAGTGCTGCAGTGTACTTTTATTATTATTATTTTTTTTTTTTACTTTCGACTTTGGCAATGGCAAGAGTTGTAGCGTGACTTAAAACCAAGACTAGTAAAAATGTTGCCTGCCTCGTTCCCGAACAGCCACAGACAGAACTGAGGAGAGATGGAGGGTTGGGTCCTGTAGGAGTGGTCCTGTTATGGGCATGGGGGCTTGCTGTTACCTGGCTGGGCCTGCTGTGCGGCGGCAGCAGTGTACCATGGGAGAAGGTGCAGCAGCAGCTCTCTCTGTCTGCCCCAGGTGGTGGCGGCCGTGGCCGCGGCCGTGGCGCCCGTAGTCGCATTTCCCACCATCCCTGTGACGTCTCTGTCTCTGTCCCCTCCCCTGGCGGGTCCAGAGCCCGGGTTCTGGCCCAGCCCCTGGCCGAGACCACTGAGCCCCGTTCCCAGACCCGCCGGGCCGTGCTGGCTTTCACTCCATCTCAGCCCTTCATTAAGGACAAAACCAAACCAGTGGTCAGGTCAGGCCACAGACAGACTATAGGTAGACATACAGAGTTTGGCCAATATTGGTTTGAGATTTAGGCCTAGAGTTTTAACAGAAGTCTAGCAATACAAATATCATTTATTAAAACACCAGACAGTTGTTTTATAACTGACTTCATCCAATCCTTTTTTTGGCCACAATGTGTTAGTCAAGTAATCAAGACAAACTTTGAGATTACTGTGGTGAATAGGTATACAGTGGACACGTCCAAAGTTTAGTAATGAAGTGCCCACCAGGTAGAAAGGCATAGAGAAAAGCAACATGTTAGCATTAGGATCCAGAATTAGCGTCACTGTTGGTGTTAGATGGGGTTATTATTGATAGCCTGTTAGCCATGTAGGAATGAAAACCAGCACCGGAATTCTACCTCTTCAGGATCAGGACTGAGAACCACGCAGAAGCAGCAGCAGCAGCAAAGCTTGGGGAGGAAAGGAAGATGACATGACACAGGGACGGGTAGGTAGATTGTTCAGGAAGGCTTCTTTTCATTCATTTTTGCTCATGTGACATAGGAGTGAACCACCACAGTGACAAAGTCATTGGGACAAACTAAACATTCTAATATTTAGGCTACGTCTTTGCTGATATAGAATTGAGCAAACAGATTAAAATGTTCAAAACACTTCTAGTGCATCCATATTTCAGTCTGTGTGGATGGTGTTTATTCTTGACTTCCTATGGGAGGTCATTATGTTACTGTAGCCTGGGTTAAGATGGATGGATCACGATGTTACTCTAGCCTGGGTTAAGATGGATGGATCATGATGTTACTCTAGCCTGGGTTAAGATGGATGGATCATGATGTTACTCTAGCCTGGGTTAAGATGGATGGATCATGATGTTACTCTAGCCTGGGTTAAGATGGATGGATCACGATGTTACTCTAGCCTGGGTTAAGATGGATGGATCATGATGTTACTCTAGCCTGGGTTAAGATGGATGGATCACGATGTTACTGTAGCCTGGGTTAAGATGGATGGATCATGATGTTACTCTAGCCTGGGTTAAGATGGATGGATCACGATGTTACTCTAGCCTGGGTTAAGATGGATGGATCACGATGTTACTCTAGCCTGGGTTAAGATGGATGGATCATGATGTTACTCTAGCCTGGGTTAAGATGGATGGATCATGATGTTACTCTAGCCTGGGTTAAGATGGATGGATCACGATGTTACTGTAGCCTGGGTTAAGATGGATGGATCATGATGTTACTCTAGCCTGGGTTAAGATGGATGGATCACGATGTTACTCTAGCCTGGGTTAAGATGGATGGATCACGATGTTACTGTAGCCTGGGTTAAGATGGATAGACAGACACCACACTCATCCACTAGAGTTACACTTCAAACCAGATGACTAACATGATTGATTAGTATCTACAGCAAAGGCTGGTTTACAGCCGTCTATCCACATGTCTGTAGATAGTTGTCGTAGCGACATCATGAACATTCTATTGTTGTCCGACATCAAACTTGTCGTTATGAAAAGTATAAACCCAAAACAGCAGCCGGGTGCTCCAAATAGCATACCGTCTATTTTAACACCAATAAACCCATCCGTTTTACAATGAATTCAGCAAATGTCAACCTAGTAACCCAGGCAACTAAAAGCACATTTTCTAAACAATGTTTTGGTTCGTTGCTAGCTACAGTGCCTTTAGAAAGTATTTACGGTGAGGGAAAAAAAGTATTTGATCCCCTGCTGATTTTGTACGTTTGCCCACTGACAAAGAAATGATCAGTCTATAATTTTAATGGCAGGGGGTCTGTAGTGACGCCGCAAGCACTGAGATGCAGTGCCTTAGACCACTGTGCCACTCGGGAGCCCAAGCAAACCAGATGGACAACATGAAAATGACCAGAGGAAGTTCAGGAGTAAAAACAAACAAAATATAATTAGTGACTGTGTCCATAAAATGTATATACAGTGAGGGAAAAAAGTATTTGATCCCTTGCTGATTTTGTACGTTTGCCCACTGACAAAGACATGATCAGTCTATAATTTTAATGGTAGGTTTATTTGAACAGTGAGAGACAGAATAACAACAAAAAAATCCAGAAAAACACATGTCAAAAATGATATAAATTGATTTGCATTTTAATGAGGGAAATAAGTATTTGACCCCTCTGCAAAACATGACTTAGTACTTGGTGGCAAAACCCTTGTTGACAATCACAGAGGTCAGACGTTTCTTGTAGTTGGCCACCAGGTTTGCACACATCTCAGGAGGGATTTTGTCCCACTCCTCTTTGCAGATCTTCTCCAAGTCATTAAGGTTTCGAGGCTGACGTTTGGCAACTCGAACCTTCAGCTCCCTCCACAGATTTTCTATGGGATTAAGGTCTGGAGACTGGCTAGGCCAATCCAGGACCTTAATGTGCTTCTTCTTCAGCCACTTCTTTGTTGCCTTGGCCGTGTGTTTTGGGTCATTGTCATGCTGGAATACCCATCCACGACCCATTTTCAATGCCCTGGCTGAGGGAAGGAGGTTCTCACCCAAGATTTGACGGTACATGGCCCCGTCCATCGTCCCTTTGATGCAGTGAAGTTGTCCTGTCCCCTTAGCAGAAAAACACCCCCAAAGCATAATGTTTCCACCTCCATGTTTGACGGTGGGGATGGGGTTCTTGGGGTCATAGGCAGCATTCCTCCTCCTCCAAACAGGCGAGTTGAGTTGATGCCAAAGAGCTCCATTTTGGTCTCATCTGACCACAACACTTTCACCCAGTTCTCCTCTGAATCATTCAGATGTTCATTGGCAAACTTCAGACGGGCATGTATATGTGCTTTCTTGAGCAGGGGGACCTTGCGGGCGCTGCAGGATTTCAGTCCTTCACGACGTAGTGTGTTACCAATTGTTTTCTTGGTGACTATGGTCCCAGCTGCTTTGAGATCATTGACAAGATCCTCCCGTGTAGTTCTGGGCTGATTCCTCACTGATCATTGCAACTCCACGAGGTGAGATCTTGGATGGAGCCCCAGGCCGAGGGAGATTGACAGTTATTTTGTGTTTCTTCCATTTGCGAATAATCGCACCAACTGTTGTCACCTTCTCACCAAGCTGCTTGCCGATGGTTTTGTAGCCCATTCCAGCCTTGTGTAGGTCTACAATCTTGTCCCTGACATCCTTGGAGAGCTCTTTGGTCTTTGCCATGGTGGAGAGTTTGGAATCTGATCCTTCATTAAAATGCAAATCAATTGATAACATTTTTGACATTAAAAACGTACAAAATCAGCAGGGGATCAAATGCTTTTTTCCCCTCACTGTATACCCCTCGACTTTTTCAACATTTTGTTGTGTCACTGGCCTACACACAACACCCCATGTCAAAGTGGAACTATGTTTTTAGAAATGTTTAAAAATCAATAAAAAATGAAAAGCTGAAAATGTCTTGAGTTAATAAGTATTCAACCACTTTTTTTTACGGCAAACGTAAATACGTTCACGAGAACAAATGTGCTTAACAAGTCACATGACCTCACTCTGTATTGTTTAACTTCATATCTGTACCCCACACATTAAGGTTATCTGAAGGTCCCCTCAATTGAGCAGTGAATTCCAAACACAGATTCAACCACAAAGACCAAGGAGGTTTTCCAACGCCTTGCAAAGTAAGGGCAGACATTAAATATCCCTTTAAGCATGGTGAAGTTATTAATTACATTTTGGATGGTGTATCAATACACCCAGTCACTACAAAGACACAGGTGTTCTTCCTAACTCAGTTGCCGGAGAAGAAGGAAACCACTCAGGGATTTCACCATGAGGCCAATGGTGACTTTAAAAACAGTTACAGTGCCTTGCAAAAGTATTCATCCCACTTGGCGTTTTTCCTATTTTGTGGCAAAACAACCTGTAATTTAAATGGATTTTTATTTGGATTTCATTTAAAATGGACATACACAACGTAGTCCAAATTGGTGAAGTGAAATGAAAAAAATAACTTGTTTCAAAAAATTCTAAAAAGTTAATAACGGAAAAGTGGTGCGTGCATACAGTTGAAGTCGGACAATTACATACACCTTAGCCAAATACATTTAAACTCAGTTTTTCACAATTCCTGACATTTAATCCTAGTAAAAATTCCCTGTCTCAGGTCAATTAGGATCACCACTTTATTTTAAGAATGTGAAATGTCAGAATAATAGTGGCGAGAATGATTTATTTCAGCTTTTATTTCCTTTCATCACATTCCCAGTGGGTCAGAAGTTTACATACACTCAATTAGTATTTGGTAGCATTGCCTTTAAATTGTTTAACTTGGGTCAAATGTTTTGGGTAGCCTTCCACAAGCTTCCCACAATAAGTTGGGTGCATTTTGGCCCATTCCTCCTGACAGAGCTGGTGTAACTGAGTCAGGTTTGTAGCCCTACTTGCTCGCACACACTTGTTCAGTTCTGCCCACAAATGTTCTATAGGATTGAGGTCAGGGCTTTGTGATGGCCACTCCAATACCTTGACTTTGTTGTCCTTAAGCCATTTTCCCACAACTTTGGAAGTATGCTTGGGGTCATTGTCCATTTGGAAGACCTATTTGCGACCAAGCTTTAACTTCCTGACTGATGTCTTGAGATGTTGCTTCAATATAACCACATAATTTTCCTTCCTCAGGACGCCATCTATTTTGTGAAGTGCACCAGTCCCTCCTGCAGCAAAGCACACCCACAGCATGATGCTGCCACCTCCGTGCTTCATGGTTGGGATGGTGGTTCTTCAGCTTGCAAGCCATCCCCTTTTTCCTCCAAACATAACGATGGTCATTATGGCCAAACAGTTCCATTTTTGTTTCATCAGACCAGAGGACATTTCTCCAAAAGGTACAATATTTGTCCCCATGTGCAGTTGCAAACCGTAGTCTGGCTTTTTTATGGCGGTTTTGGAGCAGTGGCTTCTTCCTTGCCGAGCGGCCTTTCAGGTTATGTCGATATAGGACTCGTTTTACTGTGGATATAGATACTTTTGTACCCGTTTCCTCCAGCATCTTCACAAGGTCCTTTGCTGTTGTTCTGGGATTGATTTGCACTTTTTCGCACCAAAGTAAGTCCATCTCTAGGAGACAGAATGCGACTCCTTCCTGAGCGGTATGACAGCTGCGTGGTCCCATGGTGTTTATACTTGCATACTATTGTTTGTACAGATGAGCGTGGTACCTTCAGGCGTTTGGAAATTGCTCCCAAGGATAAACCAGACTTGTGGAGGTCTACAATTTTTTTCTGAAGTATTGGCTGATTTATTTTGATTTTCCCATGATGTCAAGCAAAGAGGCACTGAGTTTGAAGGTAGGCCTTGAAATACATCCACTGGTACACCTCCAATTGACTCAAATGATGTCAATTAGCCTATCAGAAGCTTCTAAAGCCATGACATCATTTTCTGGAATTTTCCAAGCTGTTTAAAAGGCACGGTGAACTTTGTGTATGTAAACTTCTGACCCACTGGAATTGTGATACAGTGAATTATAAGTGAAATAATCTGTCTGTAAACAATTGTTGGAAAAATTACTTGTGTCATGCACAAAGTAGATGCCCTAACCGACTTGCCAAAACTATAGTTTGTTAACAAGAAATTTGTGGAGTGGTTGAAAAACGAGTTTTAATGACTCCAACCTAAGTGTATGTAAACTTCCGACTTCAACTGTATGTATTCACCCCCTTTGCTATGAAGCACCTAAATAAGATCTGGTGCAACCCAATTGCCTTCAGAAGTCACATAATTAGTTAAATAAAGTCCACCTGTATGCAATCTAAGTGTCACATGATCTGTCACATGATCTCAGTATACATATACACCTGTTCTGAAAGGCCCCAGAGTCTGCAACACCACTAAACAAGGGGCACAACCAAGCAAGCGGCACCATGAAGACCGAAGAGCTCTCCAAACAGGTCAGGGACAAAGTTGTGGAGATCAGGGTTGGGTTATAAAGAAATATCAGAAACTTTGAACATCCCACGGAGCACCATTAAATCCATTATAAAAAAATTGAAAGAATATGGCACCACAACAAACCTGCCAAGAGAGGACCACCCACCAAAACTCACGGACCAGGCAAGGAGGGCATTAATCAGAGAGGCAACAAAAAGACCAAAGATACCCCTGAAGGAGCATCAAAGCTCTACAGCGGAGATTGGAGTATCTGTCCATAGGACCACTTTAAGCCGTACACTCCACAGAGCTGGGCTTTACGGAAGAGTGGCCAGAAAAAAGCCATTGCTTTAATAAATAAATAAGCAAACACGTTTGGTGTTCGCCAAAAGGCATGTGGGAGACTCCCCAAACATTTGGAAGAAGGTACACTGGTCAGATGAGGATAAAATGTAGTTTTTTGGCCATCAAGGAAAACACTATGTCTGGCGCAAACCCAACACCTCTCATCACCCCGAGAACACCATCCCCACAGTGAAGCATGGTGGTGGCAGCATCATAATGTGGGGATGTTCTCATCGGCAGGGACTGGGAAACTGGTCAGAATTGAAGGAATGATGGAGGAGGCTAAATACAGGGAAATTCTTGAGGGAAACCTGTTTCAGTCTTCCAGATATTGTAAGACTGGGACGGAGGTTCACCTTCCAGCAGGACAATGACCCTAAGCATACCGCTAAAGCAACACTTGAGTGGTTTAAGGAGAAACATTTAGATTTCTTGGAATAGCCTAGTCAAAGCCGAGACCTCAATCCAAATGAGAATCTGTGGTATGACTTAAAGATTGCTGTACACCAGCGGAACCATTCAACTTGAAAGAGCTGGAGCAGTTTTGCCTTGAAGAATGGGCAAAAATCCCAGTGGCTAAATGTGCCAAGCTTATAGAGACATACCCCAAGAGACTTGCAGCTGTAATTGCTGCAAAAGGTGGCTCTACAAAGTATTGACTTTGGGGGGGGGGTGAATAGTTATGTTTTTTGTCTTATTTCTTGTTTGTTTCACAATAAAAAATATTTTGCATCTTCAAAGTGGTAGGCGTGTTGTGTAAATCAAATGAAACAAATCCCCCAAAAATCCATTTTAATTCCAGGTTGTAAGGCAACAAAATTGGGAAAAATGCCAAGGGGGGTGAATACTTTTGCAAGCTACGGTACAGAGTTTAATGTCTGTGATAGGAGAAAAACTGAGGATGGATCAACATTGTAGTTACTTCACAATACTAACCGAATTGACAGAGTAAAAAGAAGGAAGTCTGTACAGAATTCATTTCTTCTCCTAAACATGCATCCTGTTTGTAACAAGGCACTAAAGGAATCCTGCAAAAAATGAGGCAAAGCAATTAACTTTTTGGCCTTAATACAAAGTGTTATGTTTGGGGCAAATCCAATACATTACTGAGTACCACTCTCCATATTTTCAAGCATAGTGATGGCTGCATCAGCTTCAGTCTGCTTTCCACCAGTCACTGGGAGATTAATTAACCTTTCAGCAGGACAATAACCTCAAACACAAAGCCAAATCTACACTGGAGTTACTTACCAAGAACACAGTGAATGTTCCTGAATGGCCAAGTAACAGTTTTGACCTAAATCTACTTGAAAATCTATAGCAAGACCTGAAAATGGTTGTCTAGCAATGATCAACAAACAATTTGACAGAGCTTGAAGAATGTTGAAAATAATAAAATGGGCAAATGTTGCATAATCCAGTTGTGGAAAGTTCTTAGAGACTTACCCAGAAAGACTCACAGCTGTAATCGCTACCAAAGGCGATTCTTACATGTATTGACTCAGGGGGTTGAATACTTACCTGATCAAGACCCAGTATATTACTGTTTATATTTTTCATAAATTACTAAAAACATGTTTACATTTACATTTACATTTTAGTCATTTAGCAGACGCTCTTATCCAGAGCGACTTACAGTTAGTGAATAATTTTTAAAAAAAAAAATTATACTGGCCCCCCGTGGGAATCGATCCCACAACCCTGGCGTTGCAAACGCCATGCTCTATCAACTGAGCTATATCCCTGCCGGCCATTCCCTCCCCTACCCTGGACGACGCTGGGCCAATTGTGCGCCGCCCATGAGTCTCCCGGTCGCTGCCGGCTGCGACAGAGCCTGGATTCGAACCAGGATCTCTAGTGGCACAGTTAGCACTGCGATGCAGTGCCTTAGACCACTGCGCCACTCAGGAGTGGTTTTCACTTATTATGGGGTATTGTGTGTAAATTGGTGAAAAAAACACCTATTTAATCAATTTTGAATTCAGGCTGTAATGCAACAAAAATGAGTACATGCAATAGTGTAATAGTAATAAGAGTAATGCAACAACAATAAGTAAAGGTGTATGAATACTTTCTGAAGGCACTGTAGCCAGCTAGCTGGCTAGCCAGTTCAAATAATGACCAGAGTATAGCTGACAAAGTCTCAACTTTAGCTACTTTTTATTCATTATTACTGGAAAATAAACCCACAACAACATAATTAATTCCTAGGTAATGGCGAGCTTACAGAAAATAGCCTACTTCCACATTGTGACTAAATAAAATTAAGGTAATTCTGAAAAAGTCGGAACTCCTGCATCATCTTGTCACAGGAGGATTTGGTATGGTTGCTATGGCAGTCCGGCAACCACGACAACAAGCTTTTTTCCCCATGTCTGTGTGACAAGGAAACTGGAAGTCGAAGCGACGATCTACAGACTTTCCACCGGAGCATAAATTAAATGTTGTTTTGACCAGCGACACGTCGCATTCTAAATTGTCTACAGACATGTCGTTAGACTAAGTATAAACTGGCCTTTATGTTTTTTTTTTTTTAAAAAAAAAAATCCTACTGTATATGTTCTCTCAGTCATGGCTATCTGTCTCCTGATCTCATTCCTTTACTGAACTCTCTAGAACCAGAACGATGTGTGTGTGTGTAGATTCACAATGCAGGATTAGAGGATGGACAGAGGAAGGACAGAGGGAAAGGTGGCAACAACAAGCAGCAGAATGGAGTCAACATTAAACGCTTCCTCCCCCGTCTTACACTGGTTCTCACCTGGGTTGTTCCTCTCCAGCAGGTACCAGCGGTAGAAGGCTCTGCGTTTGGAGTCGCTCATCTCCAAGCCCTGCTGCAGCAACCACTGGGAGATATAACTCTGACTGATACCTAGGGAGAGGATATACAGTGCATTCAGAAAGTATTCAGACCCCTTGACTTTTTCAACATTTTGTTACGCTACAGCTTTATTCTAAAATGGATTAAATTGTTTTTTTAATTCATCAATCTACACACAATACCCCATAATGACAAAGCGAAAACAGGTTTAGATTTTTTTTGCACATTTATGAAAAATATAAAACAGAAATACCTTATTTAGATAATTATTCAGACCCTTTGCTATGAGACTCGAAATTGAGCGCAGGTGCTCCTGTTTCCATTGATCATCCTTGAGATATTTCTACAACTTCACTGGTGTCCACTTGTGGAAAATTCAACTGATTGGATATGATTTGGAAAGGCACACACCTGTCTATATAAGGTCTCACAGTTGATAGTGCATGTCAGAGCAAAAACCAATGCATGAGGTCGAAGGAATTGTCCATAGACCTTCGAGAAAGGATTGTATCGAGGCACAGATCTGGGAAAGGGAACCAACAAACATTTCTGCAAAGGGTCTGAAGGTCCCCAAGAACACATTTCTTAAATGGAAGAAGTTTGGAACCACCAAGACTCTTCCTAGAGCTGGCCGCCCGGCCAAACTGAGCAATCAGGGGAGAAGGGCCAACTTGGTCAGGGAGGTGACCAAGAACCCGGTGGTCACTCTGACAGAGGTCTAGAGTTTCTCTGTGGAGATGGGAGAAGCTTCCAGAAGGAGTGGCCAGACGGAAGCCACTCCTCAGTAAAAGGCACATGACAGCCCGCTTGGAGTTTGCAAAAAAGGCACCAAAAGGACAAACCATGAGAAATAAGATTCTCTGGTCTGATGAAACCAAGATTGAACTCTTTGGCCTGAATGCCAAGCGTCATGTCTGGAGGAAACCTGGCACCATCCCTACGTTGAAGCATGGTGGCAGCATCATGCTGTGGGGATGTTTTTCAACGGCAGGGACTGGGAGACTAGTCAGGATCGAAAGAAAGATGAACGGAGCAAAGTACAGAGAGATCCTTGATGAAAACCTGCTCCAGAGCGCTCAGGACCTCAGACTGGGGCGAAGGTTCACCTTCCAACAGGACAATGACCCTAAGCTCACAGCCAAGACAACGCAGGAGTGGCTTTGGGACAAGTCTCTGAATGTCCTTTGAGTGACCCAGCCAGAGCCCAGACTTGAACCCGATCGAACATCTCTGGAGAGACCTGAAAATAGCTGTGCATCCAACCTGACAGAGCTTGAGAGGATCAAATCAAAGGTTATTTGTCACATACGCCGAATACAACAGGTGTAGACCTTACAGTGAAATGCTTAATTACAAGCCTTAACCAACAATGCAGTTTTAAGAAAGAATACCCCCCCAAAAAATAATAATAAAAAATTATATATATATATATATATATATATATATATATATATATATATATATATATATATATATATATATATATATATACACACACAATAAAATAATACGAAATAAAAGTTTTAAAAAATTAGAGCAGCAGTAAAAATAACAGTAGGGAGGCTATATACAGGGGGTACCGGTACAGAGTCAATGTGAAATAACAGTAGCGAGGCTATATACAGGGGGTACCGGTACCGAGTCAATGTGCGGGGGCACCGGTTAGTCGAGGTAATTGACGCAATATGTACATGTAGGTAGAGTTATTAAAGTGACTATGCGCAGATAACAGAGAGTAGCAGCAGCGTAAATGCAAATAGTCTGGGTAGCCATTTGATTAGATGTTCAGGAGTCTTATGGCTTGGGGGTTGAAGCTGTTTAGAAGCCTCTTGGACCTTGACTTGGCGCTCCGGTACCGCTTGCCGTGCGGTAGCAGAGAGAACAGTCTATGACTAGGTGGCTTGAGTCTTTGACAATTTTGAGGGCCTTCCTCTGACACCGCCTGGTATAGAGGTCTGGATGGCAGGAATGGCCCCAATGATGTACTGGGCCGTACGCACTACCCTCTGTAGTGCCTTGCAGTCGGTGGCCGAGCAGTTGCCATACCAGGCAGTGATGCTCTCGATGGTGCAGCTGTAGAACCTTTTGAGGATCTGAGGACCAATGCCAAATCTTTTCAGTCTCCTCAGGGGGGAATAGGTTTTGTCATGCCCTCTTCACGACTGTCTTGGTGTGCTTGGACCACGTTAGTTTGTTGGTGATGTGGACACCAAGGAACTTGAAGCTCTCAACCTGATCCACTCCAGCCCCATCGATGAGAATGGGGGCGTGCTCGGTCCTCTTCTTTTTCCTGTAGTCCACAATCTGCAGAGAAGAATGGGAGAAACTCCCAAAGTACAGGTGTGCCAAGCTTGCAGCGTCATACCCAAGAAGACTCGAGGCTGTAATCGCTGCCAAAGGTGCTTCAACAAAGTACTGAGTAAAGGGTCTGGAAACATATGTAAATGTGATATATATATATTTTTATGTGATATATATATATTTTTTATATATACATTTGCAAAAATCTCAAAAAAACTGTTTTTGCCTTGTCATTATGGGGTAGTGTGTGTAGATTAATGAGAAAAAATAAAAATAAAACGATTTAATCAATTTTAGAATAAGGCTGTAACGTAACACTTTGGAAAAAGTCAAGGGGTCTGAATACTTTCCAAATGCCTTCAGAAAGTATTCATACCCCTGGACTTACTCCACATTTTGTTGTGTTACAACCTGAATTCAAAATGGATTTTTTTAAATCTCACCCATCTACACACAATACCCCATAATGACAAAGTGAAAACATGGTTTTAGAAATGTTTGCTAATGTATTAAAAATAAAAAACAATCTAATTTACATAAGTATTCACACCCCTGAGTCAATACTTTGTAGAAGCACCGTTGGCAGCGATTACAGCTTTGAGTCATCTTGGGTATGTCTGTATTAGTTTTACACATCTGGATTTGAGGATTTTCTCCCATTCTTCCTTGCAGATTATCTCAAGCTCTGTTAAATTAGATGGGGAGAGGCGGTGAACAGCAATCTTCAAGTCTTTCCATAGATTCAATGGGATTCAAATCTGGGCTTTGGCTGGCCCACTCAAGGACTTTCACATTCTTGTTCTGAAGCCATCCCAGCGTTGCTTGGGGTCATTATCCTGTTGGAACATAAATCTGCACTCCCAGTCTAAGGTTGTTTGCACTCTGAAGCATGTTCTCATCATGTATTTGCCTGTATTTGGTCCCATTCACTGTTCCCTCCATCCTTACCAGTCTCCCAGTCCCTGCCGCTGAACAAAATCCCCATAGCATGATGCTGCCACCACCATGCATTGACATTTTTGTCATTTAGCAGACGCTCTTATCCAGAGCTACTTACAGTTAGTGAATGCATACATGTTTTGTTTTTTGTTTTTTTCATACTGGCCCCCCGTGGGAAACAAACCCACATCCCTGCCCACCCTCCCCTACCTTGGATGACGCTGGACCAATTGTGCGCCACCCATGGGTCTCCCGGTCGCGGTAAGGATGGTGTTAGACGGGTGATGAGCTGTGCCTGGTTTTCTCCAGACATAGCACTTTGCATTCAGGCCAAAGAGTTCTATTTTTGTCTCATCAGACCACATAATATTTTGCCTCGTGCTCTCAGAGTCTTTCACGTGGCTTTTTGCAAACTCCAGCCATTTTTCTCAGGAGTGGCTTCCATCTGGCCACTCTCCCATAAAGCCCAGATTGGTGAAGTGCTGTAGAGACTGTTAACCTTCTGGCAGGTACTCCCATCTCAGCCAAGGAACTCTGTAGTTCTGTCAGGGTGGTCACTGGGTTCTTGGTCACCTCCCTGACCAAGGTCCTTCTTGCTCAGTTGTTCAGTTTGGTCAGATGGCCAGCTCTAGGCAGAGTCTGGGTAGTTCCATATTTGTTACATTTCCCTATAATGGAGACCACTGTGCTCTTGGAAAATGTTAACACTAGAAATTGTTTTATACCCAGATATATGCCTCATCACAATTCTCTCGGAGATCGACGGCCAGTTCGTTGGACTTCATGGTATAGTTTCTGCTCTCACTGTCAACTGTGGGACCTTATATAGACCAGTGTGATTCTTTCAAAATCATGTGCAAACAATTGAATTGGCCACAGGTGGACTCCATTCAAGTTGTAGTGACATCTCAAGGATGATTGAAGGACATTGGGTGCACCTGCGCTGAATTTGGAATGTAATAGCAAAGGGGTGTGAAAATGTATGTAAATGAGATATTTCTGCATTTCATTTTCAATAAATTTGAGAAAAAAAATCTAAATAAGTTCAGGAGTAAAAATGTGCTTAACAAGTCACATAGGTTGCATGGAATCACTGTGTGCAATAATAGTGTTTAATATTATTTTAGAATGACTACCTCATCTCTGTACCCCACAACTACAGATAATTGTAAGGTCCCTCAGTCGAGCAGTGAATTTCAAACACAGATTCAACCACAAAGACCAGGGAGGTTTTCCAATGCCTCTCAAAGAAGGGTAACTATCGGTAGACATTGAATATCCCTTTGAGCATGGTGAAGTTATTAATTTACACTTTGGATGGTGTATCAATACACCCAGTCACTACAGAGATACAGGCGTCCTTCCTAACTCAGTTGCCTCAGAGGAAGGAAACCAATTAGGGATTTCACCATTAGGCCAATGGTGACTTAAAACAGTTACAGGGTTTAATGGCTGTGATAGGAGAAAACTGAGGATGGATCAACAACATTGTAGTTACTCCACAATACTAACCTAAATGACAGAGTGAAAAGAAGAAAGCCTGTACAGAATACACATATTCCAAAACATGCATCCTGTTTGCAACAAGGCACTAAAGTAATACTGCAAAAAATGTGGCAAAGGAATTAACTTTATGTCCTGAATACAAAGTGTTATGCTTGGGGCAAATCCAACACAACACATTACTGCGAACCTCTATATTTTCAAGCATAATGGTGGCTGCATCATGTTATGGGTATGCTTGTAATCATTAAGGACAGGGGAGTTTTTCAGGATAAAAAATTAACCGGAATGGAGCTAAGCACAGGCAAAGTCCTAGAGGAAAACATGGTTCAGTCACTGGGAGATTAATTAACCTTTCAGCAGGACAATAACCTAAAACACCAAATCTACACTGGAGTTGCTTACCAAGAACACGGTGAATGTTCCTGAATGGCCGAGTAACAGTTTTGACCTAAATCTACTTGAAAATCTATAGCAAGACCTGAAAATGGTTGTCTATCAATGATCAACAACCAATTTGACAGAGCTTGAAGAATTTTGAAAATAATAAATGGGCAAATGTTGCATAATCCAGTTGTGGAAAGTTCTTAGAGACTTACGCAGAATCTACCAAAGGTGCTTCTACAAAATATTTCTGTGTATGGGTGGTCCTCTGTAGCTCAGCTGGTAGAGCACGGCGCTTGTAACGCCAAGGTAGTGGGTTCGATCCCCGGGACCACCCATACACAAAAATGTATGCACGCATGACTGTAAGTCGCTTTGGATAAAAGCGTCTGCTAAATGGCATATTATTATTATATTATTATTATTTCTGTATTTAATTTTCAATACATTTGTAAAAATGTCTAAGAACATGTTGTTTTCATGATGGGGTATTGTGTGTAGATGGTTGAACATATATAAACAGTACCAGTCAAAAGTTTGGACCACATACTCATTCAAGGGTTTTTATTAATTGTTTTAATGTTTTTACGTTGTAGAATAATAGTGAAGACATCAAAACTATGAAATAACACATCTGGAATCATGTAGTAACCAAAAAAAGTGTTAAACAAATCTAAATATATTTTATATTTGAGATTCTTCAAAGTAGCCACCCTTTGCCTTGATGACAGCTTTGCACACTCTTGGCATTCTCTCAACCAGCTTCACCTGGAATGCTTTTCCAACAATCTTGAAAGAGTTCCCACATATGCTGAGCACTTGTTGGCTGCTTTTCCTTCACTCTGGCCTCCGACTCATCCCATACCATCTCAATTGGGTTGAGGTCGGGGGATTGTGGAGGCCAGGTCACCTGATGCAGCACCATCACTCTCCTTCTTGGTCAAATAGCCCTTTCACAGACTGGAGGTGTGTTGGGTCATTGTCCTGTTGAAAAACAAATGATAGTCCCACTAAACCCAAACCAGATGGGATGGCATATCACTGCAGAATGCTGTGGTAGCCATGCTGGTTAAGTGTGCCTTTAATTCTAAATAAATCACAGACAGTGTCACCAGCAAAGCACCCCCACACCGTAACACCTCCTCCTCTATGCTTTACGGTGGGAACTACACATGCAGTGATCATCCGTTCACCCACAACGCGTCTCACGAAGACACGGCGGTTGGAACCAAAAATCTCACATTTGGACTCCAGACCAAAGGACACATTTCCACCGGTCTAATGTCCATTACTCGTGTTTCTTGGCCCAAGCAAGTCTCTTCTTCTTATTGGTTTCCTTTAGTAGTGGTTTCTTTGCAGCAATTCGACAATGAAGGCCTGATTCACACAGTCTCCTCTGAACAGTTGATGTTGAGTTGTGTCTGTAACTTGAACTCTGTGAAGCATTTATTTGGGCTGCAATTTCTGAGGTTGGTCACTCTAATGAACTTATCCTCTGCAGCAGAGGTAACTCTGGGTCTTCCATTCCTGTGGCGGTCCTCATGAGAGCCAGCTTCATCATAGCGCTTTATGATTTATGCGACTGCACTTGAAGAAACTTTAAAAGTTCTTGAAATGTTCCGTATTGACTGACCTTCATGTCTTAAAGTAATGATGGACTGTCGTTTCTATAATAATATAATAATAATAAACCATTTAGCAGACGCTTTTATCCAAAGCAACTTACAGTCATGTGTGCATACATTTTTACGTATGGGTGGTCCCGGGGATCGAACCCACTACCCTGGCGTTACAAGCGCCATGCTCTACCAATTGAGCTACAGAGCTCACAATTTACTTATTTGAGCTGTTCTTGCCATAATATGGACTTGGTCTTTTACCAAATAGGGCTATCTTCTGTATACCCCCCTACCTTGTCACAACACAACTGATTGGCTCAAACGCATTAAGGAAAGAAATTCCACAAATTAACTTTTAAGAAGGCACACCTGTTAATGGAAATGCATTCCAGGTGACTACCTAATGAAGCTGGTTGAGAGAATGCCAAGAGTGTGCAAAGCTGTCATCAAGGCAAAGGGTGGCTACTTTGAAGAATCTCAAATATATTTTGATTTGTTTAACACTTTTTTGGTTACTACATGATTCCATATGTGTTATTGCAAAGTGTTGATGTCTTCACTATTATTCTACAATGTAAAAAATAGTAAAAATAAAGAAAAACCCTTGAATGAGTAGGTGTGTCCAAACTTTTGACTGGTAGTGTGTATTTAACCCATTTTGAATTCAGGCTCTAACAACAAAATGTGGAATAAGTCAAGGTGTATGAATACTTTCTGAAGGCATTGTAAATCTGACTGATACCTAGGGAGAGGAACCAGAACTGACTGATACCTAGGGAGAGGAACCAGAACTGACTGAATCCTAGGGAGAGGAGACAGAACTGACTGAATCCTAGGGAGAGGAGACAGAACTGACTGAATCCTAGGGAGAGGAGACAGAACTGACTGAATCCTAGGGAGAGGAGACAGAACTGACTGAATCCTAGGGAGAGGAGACAGAACTGACTGAATCCTAGGGAGAGGAGACATAACTGACTGAATCCTAGGGAGAGGAGACAGAACTGACTGATACCTAGGGAGAGGAACCAGAACTGACTGAATCCTAGGGAGAGGAACCAGAACTGACTGAATCCTAGGGAGAGGAGACAGAACTGAATGAATCCTAGGGAGAGGAGAGGAGTGAGGAGGAAAGGAGAAGGAAGGTAGATAACAAGAGGAGAGGAGAAACAGAGATGGAGGGAAGAGAAGGAGAGTGAGTAGGAACACATGAGAGTGTTATAAAATATCCTACATGGAAAGACAGGTAATATTCATACAAAACAATGTAAACAGCGCACACTATCACAGGTTCACTAAAAAAAAGCTGTCTATAGCAGAATATATGAACGCATTACCTGTGACCTGTCCCACGATGGCCTGGGAGATCCTGCGGTTGTTGAGGAAAGTCTTGATCTCCTCCTTCACCAGGTTACTGTCCCTCCTATAAAAGCACAACAGGGCACCACAGAGTAAGAACAGACAATATACTTCCTGTTTCTAGCTTCCTGTTTGTGGGGCTAGCAGTGGCTAGAGCAACAGTCATCATCATCACAACTTCGGTACATCTCAAAAGATTCTTCCTCTGCTTATATCCAAATCATTCGATCCCCCTGGGGACCACCCATACGCAAAAATGTATGCACGCATGACTGTAAGTCGCTTTGGATAAAAGCGTCTGCTAAAATGGCATATTATTATTCATTACATCTGCAGTATTGTGGATATGCTGGTGGAACCAGACAACGTGTACATTCTCCACCATAGGATTTTTGCCTCCCCTATGTTTTCAGAAAAGCTGATGAAAGAGAGCTGGAAACGAGCAGAGGAAGCCATAGGCCTAGCTGACATGACTCCAGATTCACCATTTGTTGACTGGATATATTTAATGCAGCCTACACACAGAAGCAGAGCAACCTTGTACCCCTGCACATGGACTAGATACCCCTGCACATGGACTAGGTACCCCTGCACATGGACTAGGCACCCCTGCACATGGACTAGGCACCCCTGCACATGGACTAGGCACCCCTGCACATGGACTAGGTACCCCTGCACATGGACTAGGTACCCCTGCACATGGACTAGGTACCCCTGTACATGGACTAGGTACCCCTGCACATGGACTAGGTACCCCTGCACATGGACTAGGTACCCCTGCACATCGACTAGGCACCCCTGCACATCGACTAGGTACCCCTTCACATCGACTAGGCACCCCTGCACATCGACTAGGCACCCCTGTACTTTTCTATTATTTCTCTATTTTCTTTCTCTCTGCATTGATTTGACTGTGGTTTCTGGAATGTCTACAAACTTGTACAAGACACCATATTGCCAGAGACTGTGACAAAGCCTTGTGTAGATCCTGTATGTAAGCCTGGCTGCAGTCATCTCTTTATCTGTCTCTCCCTACACACCTGACCCAAATTAGTCAGGCTAACAGTAGGAGAATAATCTAGCATCACCAGGGACTGGCTGTTATTATCTGATGATGATATAATCATCTTCCTCTCTCAGAGCTAGATCTTCTACTTTCTGCTATGTTCACCTCAAATACCCCTCCTTATCTTCTACTATGTTCACCTCAAATACCCCTCCTTATCTTCTACCTTCTGCTATGTTCACCTCAAATACCCCTCCTTATCTTCTACCTTCTGCTATGTTCACCTCAAATACCCCTCCTTATCTTCTACTTTCTGCTATGTTCACCTCAAATACCCCTCCTTATCTTCTACCTTCTGCTATGTTCACCTCAAATACACCTCCTTATCTTCTACCTTCTGCTATGTTCACCTCAAATACCCCTCCTTATCTTCTACCTTCTGCTATGTTCACCTCAAATACCCCTCCTTATCTTCTACCTTCTGCTATGTTCACCTCAAATACCCCTCCTTATCTTCTACCTTCTGCTATGTTCACATCAAATACCCCTCCTTATCTTCTACCTTCTCTTCATGTTTCACTACTACCTCCCTCCCTCTCACCTCATGTACTCCTCCACCTTCTCCTCCAGATCCCAGTCCTCCTCCGCCATGATGTCATAGCTAAACGACTTCTGAACTCCAACCCCATGCGGGTACTGCGGCGGGGGAGAGGCCTCGTAGCTGTTGCTAGGCGACAGCGAGGCACCGTCCAGCCCGGGGGTCTGCGTTGTGGCGGATGCCAAGGAGAGGGAGGAAGAGGAGGAGGAGGAGGAGGAAGAGGAGGAGGGTGGGGCTGGGGCGGAGGCTGTGGTAGGGGTGGTGTTGGTGGTGGGGTTGGCGGTGGCGGTGTCGTTGCAGTACGGGGGGCGGTGGTCGGGGTCTAGTCGCTCTAGGGACCCCAAGGCCTGGACGATCTGTGGCTTGGTCATCCCTGAGAGACGGAGGCGCTGGAGGAGGTCGATCTGCTCGATGGTGTAGCGTGGCTCCACCTCACAACACTCCATCCTGACATCTAACGGGTTAAAACACACATGACTTTTGTCCACAATATTACATTAAAATACTGGATCAGCAGCACTTTGTTGTCAAGTTCACTTACAAAGGAAAAATACAGCTGGATTTGTAGTCAGTGTGAGGCTGCATCCTCCTCCATGTGGAACCATGGGTCATTCAAAAGTGTGGCCAACTATGGCACTGTTTATACCAAACATCAGGAAGATCTTGCTAATATTGAGTTCCTCAGAACAGCCTCAATTCGTCGGGTGTCAAAATGGATGCTGGCCAATGTTGACTCCTATGCTTCCCACGTGTCAATTTGGCTGTATGTCCTTTGGGTGGTGGACCATTCTTGATACACACAGGAAACTGTTGAGCGTGAAAAACCCAACAGCGTTGCAGTTCTTGACAAAACAGTGCGCCTGGTTTGTATCAAGAACTGCCCCGTTCAAAGGCACTTCAATCTTTTGTCTTGCCCATTCACCCTCTGAATGGCATACACCAATCATGTCTCAATTGTCTCAAGGCTTAAAAATCCTTCTTTAACCCGTCTCCTCCCCTTTATCTACACTGATTGAAGTGGATTAAACAAGTGACATCAGTAAGGGATCATAGCTTTCACCTGGAATCACCTGGTCAGTCTATGTCATGGAAAAAACAGGTGTTCTTAACGTTTTGTATACTCAGTGTATTTGGCACAGTCTACACCAGGGTTCTTCAATTCCGGTCCTGGAGGGCCGAAACACTTCTGTTTATTATTTCTACCTGGTAGTTAATTGCACTCACCTGGTGTCCCAGGTCTGAATTAGCCCCTGATTAGAAGGAGAGGATGAAAAACAGGACCGGAATTGAAGAACCCTGTTCTACACTCACCCTGCCACATTTGTCTTGAGGAAAAGCCTGATGATTCACTGCCTGATTGCTAATTTAAAGTCATAATAAATATACACTAACAGCTTTTAAATGAAGTGTCATGAGGAAAAACAACAAACATAACTTGGGCTAAAAAACATATTTCATGCCATGATGTTGAACGCTATGTAGTCTACAGTACATTCAATATCTCGTGGAGAGAAATGACATATTTTCGCGAGATAATTTTTACTTCTGGGTAACAGAGAGATGAACTGTACATTGATTGAATATGTGCATTGACTGCAAAACAATGTGTTATTGACCCATGGCATGTACAGTGCCAGCCTGCCTAACCTACCTGATAGCGGGGGTGAGAGGCGCCCTGTGGGCATCGGTTCGGTTCGCGGGGCCGCAGCCGGGAGGCACCACTGTCGCATGGCTCGATGGAGCTGGCGGAGAGAGAGACAGTTTACATGGTGCGGTGTTGGGAGGGAATGCTAACATCTACACTAGTCAGCTAGCTAGCAACTGCACTTCAGATATTATCAAAGTTTGTAAATGTGGCCTGTTGCTAAATAAGTTAGCTAGCAGGTTATTAAGTTAGCGTGTCGTTAGCCATCTGCCAAGTGAGACTTGCCAGTCACTTTCACTGACGTGCTGCAGTCTGGTAAGGTTAGCTGATTAGCTTATCATGCTAGCTAATTATTAGCTTGCTAGCTTTAATTTGTTGACACTAGCTTGCAACTTGACTATACTACAGCACGGATGTATTAACAAGCTATTAAAAGTAGCTACCAGTAGCTAAGTTGGCTAGTTGGCTCATTACATGCAATACACCAGTAGCTAGCCCGGGCTAACTAGCAAGCCATCTACTGTAGCTCATAAACCAGAGAACGTTGCACCAACATTATCGATTGAGGATTGTGAGATCATGTCATGCTAACTAGCTAGCTAATGCAGATACCGGTGGCTAGTTGATGCTAACCCGCAGCGCCCCTTCCTTACCTCCCGCTGTTGTGGCAAGCTGCAGCAGGCGACGCTCCCTTGAAATGCTAGCTCACTCAACCGTGCACGTCGACCGACTAACTTCGTAATGGTTTCCAACTAGCTAGTGAAGGTGATCCGTACAGGGTCACATTGTCCCCCGGGATGCAGCAGCAGCACCGGAGAGAAACCGAATCGGTAAACGGGGAGTCGGTCTCAGTTTTCTGACCTCTATACCCCCCACCACACTGCCCCGGAATGATATAGGAAGTTATTCATCTGCGAGGTAAAATCAAAAAGTTATTTATTTATATCATTAAGACATTCAGTGCTGAACAAAGGTTGATATTGTAAACCTGGTCTCAGAGCATTTCGTATTATTCTGTATGTACATCTAGCGGGGGGGAAACGAAGGTTCCTGAAGCGTTGAGGTTTTCCAGCCAATTGTGTCGAAAATAGATTCATTACTCGATGCTTTGACCAACACAGTGAACACTAGTGGCACCTCCTGGTCAAATGATTATAGATGACGTCCCACACTCGGTAGCCCATGTGGAGCCTAACCTTTTTGTCTTGTATAAAAACCAATACCAAACCATTCAGGTGGTTGTTTGACGGAACGAAGCTTTGGACGTCTTGATCAAGTGCTTCTGATAAAGCGTACATTACATTTACATTTACATCGTTTAGCAGATGCTCTTATCCAGAGCAACTTACAAATTGCATCGGCACACTGCTTTGAAGTACACTGCTTAGCGATTGAGGCATTTCCAGCATCAGACATAACATCACTATGTCAGTCCGTTAAATCAAATCAAATCAAATGTATTGGCCACATGCGCCGAATACAACAGGTGCAGACATTACAGTGAAATGCTTACTTACAGCCCTTAACCAACAGTGCATTTATTTTTAATAAAAAAGTAAAATAAAATAACAACAAAAAAGTGTTGAGAAAAAAAGAAAAAATTAGTAAAATAAAATAACAGTAGGGAGGCTATATATACAGGGGGGTACCGGTGCAGAGTCAATGTACGGAGGCACCGGCTAGTTGAAGTAATATGTACATGTGGGTAGAGTTAAAGTGACTATGCATAAATAATTAACAGAGTAGCAGCAGCGTAAAAAGATGGGGTGGGGGGGGCAGTGCAAATAGTCCGGGTAGCCATGATTAGCTGTTCAGGAGTCTTATGGCTTGGGGGTAGAAGCTGTTGAGAAGTCTTTTGGACCTAGACTTGGCACTCCGGTACCGCTTGCCATGCGGTAGCAGAGAGAAAAGTCTATGACTAGGGTGGCTGGAGTCTTTGACAATTTTGAGGGCCTTCCTCTGACACCGCCTGGTATAGAGGTCCTGGATGGCAGGAAGCTTGGCCCCAGTGATGTACTGGGCCGTACGCACTACCCTCTGTAGTGTTTGCGGTCGGAGGCCAAGCAGTTGCCATACCAGGCGGTGATGCAACCAGTCAGGATGCTCTTGATGGTGCAGCTGTATAATTTTTTGAGGATCTGAGGACCCATGCCGAATCTTTTCAGTCTCCTGAGGGGGAATAGGCTTTGTCGTGCCCTCTTCACGACTGTCTTGGTGTGTTTGGACCATGATAGTTCGTTGGTGATGTGGACACCAAGGAACTTGAAGCTCTCAACCTGTTCCACTACAGCCCCGTCGATAAGAATGGGGACGTGCTCAGTCCTCTTTTTTTTCCTGTAGTCCACATTCATCTCCTTTGTCTTGGTCACGTTGAGGGAGAGGTTGTTATCCTGGCACCACACGGCCAGGTCTCTGACCTCCTCCCTATAGGCTGTCTCATCGTTGTCGGTGATCAGGCCTACCACTGTTGTGTCGTCGGCAAGCTTAATGATGGTGTTGGAGTCGTGCCTGGTCATACAGTCATGGGTGAACAGGGAGTACAGGAGGGGACTGAGCACGCACCCCTGAGGGGCCCCCGTGTTGAGGATCAGTGTGGCAGATGTGTTGTTACCTACCCTTACCACCTGGGGGCGGCCCGTCAGGAAGTCCAGGATCCAGTTGCAGAGGGAGGTGTTTAGTCCCAGGATCCTTAGCTTAGTGATGAGCTTTGAGGGCACTATGGTGTTGAATGCTGAGCTGTAGTCAATGAATAGCATTCTCACGTAGGTGTTCCTCTTGTCCAGGTGGGAAAGGGCAGTGTGGAGTGCAATAGAGATTGCATCATCTGTGGATCTGTTTGGGCGGTATGCAAATTGGAGTGGGTCTAGGGTTTCTGGGATAATGGTGTTGATGTGAGCCATGACCAGCCTTTCAAAGCACTTCATGGCTACAGACGTCAGTGCTACAGGTCGGTAGTATGATATGTTACGTTTTGTATGGCATGTATTGATTTGTGGATCAATTTCTTATGATATGTTGCCAGTTACAATTTTACCACAACATATAATATGTTAATTTTTTTTAGCAAAACGTACAATATGTTACGAATTGAAAAAGGTGTGATATGTTAGGAATTCCAATTTCTTGTGGCTAATGTTAGCTACGTGGCTAACTCTAATGTTAGCTACCTGGCTAACTCTAATGTTAGCTACGTGGCTAACTCTAATGTTAGCTACGTGGCTAACTCTAATGTTAGCTACGTGGCTAACTCTAATGTTAGCTACGTGGCTAACTCTAATGTTAGCTACGTGGCTAACTCTAATGATAGCTAGGCTAGCTGTTAGGGTTAAAGGAACCCAAAAACTACATTTTGGTATTTGTTTCATTGTCGATGTAGTCCCAAAATGTTTTGCTTGTCAACAATCAAGTTTTCAAGATATGTAACTTAAAAAATACAGAAATCATCCCCGTATGATGCATTTAGCATTTTTGTATTTATATATCTTGAAAACTTGATTGCTGACAAGCATTTTACTGTGACAAACAAAAAAACATCTAGTCAGCGGCAGTCCTGTGGGCGACAACAGCTTGTTGATTAGAGGTGGAAGGAGAATGGCGAGAATGGGGCAAGCTAACAGGCGGGCCACAAACTGGCACAGAGCGGCGCAATACAATAGTCTTGTGCAGAATGGCATCTCGGAACGCACAACTCGTCAGTCCTTGTCACGATGGGCTATTGCAGCAGAATGGTGTGGGGAATGTTTTCCTGGCAAACATTAGGTCCCTTGATACCAATTGAGCAACGTTTCCATGCCCCACTGCACTGAAACATTATGAAGAAGCCCTCAAACACGACCCAACCAACATGACATATTTTTTCCCATAACATGTTCCCATAGCATGATCCCATATCATGATCGCATATCATGCAGACTGATAAATGGCGGCAAGTGAAAGATATGTCCCTCCCCTCCTCGCACATACACACACGCACCATTGAAATTGCCATGACAATGCTGAAGTTGAATTTTTCTCGTTCACTCTCCAAACCAACAAATCTCTCTCTCTCTCTCAATTCAATTCAATTTCAATTTAAGGGCTTTATTGGCATGGGAAACGTGTGTTAACATTGCCAAAGCAAGTGAAGTAGATAGTAAACAAAAGTGAAATAAACAATAAATATTAACAGTAAACATTACACTCAGAAGTTTCAAAAGAATAAAGACATTTCAAATGTCATATTATGTATATTTACAGTGTTGTAACAATGTGCAAATAGTTAAAGTACAAATGGGAAAATAAATAAACATAAATATGGGTTGTATTTACAATGGTGTTTGTTCTTCACTGGTTGCCCTTTTCTTGTGGCAACAGGTCACAAATCTTGCAGCTGTGATGGCACACTGTGGTTTTTCACCCAGTAGATAAGGGAGTTTATCAAAATTGGGTTTGTTTTCGAATTCTTTGTGGATCGCTGTAATCTGAGGGAAATATGTGTCTCTAATATGGTCATACATTTGGCAGGAGGTTAGGAAGTGCAGCTCAGTTTCCACCTCATTTTGTGGGCAGTGTGCACATAGCCTGTCTTCTCTTGAGAGCCAGGTCTGCCTACGGCGGCCTTTCTCAATAGCAAGGCTATGCTCACTGAGTCTGTACATAGTCAAAGCTTTCCTTAAGTTTGGGTCAGTCACAGTGGTCAGGTATTCTGCCACTGTGTACTCTCTGTTTAGGGCCAAATAGCATTCTAGTTTGCTCTGTTTTTTTTGTTTGTTCTTTCCAATGTGTCAAGTAATTCTCTTTTTGTTTTCTCATGATTTGGTTGGGTCTAGTTGTGTTGTTGTTGTTGTTGCTGTCCTGGGGCTGTGTGGGGGCTGTTTGTGTTTGTGAACAGAGCCCCAGGACAAGCTTACTTAGGGGACTCTTCTCCAAGTTCATCTCTCTGTAGGTGATGGCTTTGTTATGGAAGGTTTGGGAATCGCTTCCTTTTAAGTGGTTATAGAATTTAACGGCTCTTTTCTGGATTTTGATAATTAGCGGGTATTGGCCTAATTCTGCTCTGCATGCATTATTTGGTGTTTTACGTTGTACACGGAGGATGTTTTTGCAGAATTCTGCATGCAGAGTCTCAATTGGGTGTTTGTCCCATTTTGTGAATTCTTGGTTGGTGAGCGGACCCCCGACCTCAGAACCATAAAGGGCAATGGGTTCTATAACTGATTCAAGTATTTTTAGCCAGATCCTAATTGGTATGTCAAATTTTATGTTCCTTTTGATGGCATAGAAGGCCCTTCTTGCCTTGTCTCTCAGATCGTTCACAGCTTTGTGGAAGTTACCTGTGGCGCTGATGTTTAGGCCGAGGTATGTATAGTTTTTTGTGTGCTCTAGGGCAACGGTGTCTAAATGGAATTTGTATTTGTGGTCCTGGCAACTGGACCTTTTTTGGAACACCATTATTTTTGTCTTACTGAGATTTACTGTCAGGGCCCAGGTCTGACAGAATCTGTGCAGAAGATCTAGGTGCTGCTGTAGGCCCTCCTTGGTTGGTGACAGAAGCAACAGATCATCAGCAAACAGAAGACATTTGACTTCAGATTCTAGTAGGGTGAGGCCGGGTGCTGCAGACTGTTCTAGTGCCCTCGCCAATTCATTGATATATATGTTGAAGAGGTTGGGGCTTAAACTGCATCCCTGTCTCACCCCACGGCCCTGTGGAAAGAAATGTGTGTGTTTTTTGCCAATTTTAACCACACACCTGTTGTTTGTGTACATGGATTTTATAATGTCGTATGTTTTTCCCCCAACCCCACTTTCCATCAATTTGTATAGCAGACCCTCATGCCAAATTGAGTCAAAAGGTTTTTTGAAATCAACAAAGCATGAGAAGACTTTGCCTTTGTTTTGGTTTGTTTGTTTGTCAATCAGGGTGTGCAGGGTGAATACGTGGTCTGTCGTACGGTAATTTGGTAAAAAGCCAATTTGACATTTGCTCAGTACATTGTTTTCACTGAGGAAATGAACTAGTCTGCTGTTAATGATAATGCAGAGGACTTTCCCAAGGTTGCTGTTGACGCATATCCCATGGTAGTTATTGGGGTCAAATTTGTCTCCACTTTTGTGGATTGGGGTGATCAGTCCTTGGTTCCAAATTGTTACGGATACAGGTATCCTGTGTTTTTGTGTGTTTCTACTCTTTCTGCCCTAATCACAGGTGTCCTGTATGTTCCTGAGTGGTGGTCGTTGAGGTGTCTGCTGATTGGACCAATCAGTGAACATTCCTGTGAATTGCACCACCTGTTACTCGTTTGTTCAATCACACATCCCATTTTATAAAAACCAGACTTGTGTTTGTTGCAAGAGAGAGAGACTTTTTCCATATGTGAGTATGGACACGGTGGTGTCCTGTGTGTTGTGTACTCACTAAGTTGTTGGTTACCCTATTGGTAACTTTATTAGAATCTATTTCTTTACCTGAGTGTGGATACTGTTGTATCCTGTGTGGTGTGTACTGATATAATTGCTGATTACCCTGTTTGTTAGCTTTGTGTGTTTCTGGGAAAAGGGGAGTTTAAGCTAGTTGCCCTTGGGCGTACATTACCCGTAGGAAGAACTCTGTCTATAAACACTAGTGAGACCTGAGCGGACCACCCACTGTATTTTTGTATGGTAGCAGTAGCCTAGCGGTTCTTGAGGCAGGCAAGATCAGTTTAGGGGGTTTTACACTATTGTTTCATTTCTTGGGTCCTGCTCAGCCCTTTTTCCCAAACCCTTACCGTGTGTTCAGAAATAAACACTTTGTGTTTGACGGTAGTTCATGGTTGTTGTGTCATTTTTGGTTCTCACTGTTCCCTGCCACACTTATAATTTACATGAATTTATGTTACGGGTCTCATGTCCATCCACCCTAGATGTTTAGAGCCACGGGGTTCGTAACACAAATATTGGGGAAGATGCCAGAGCTAAGGATTATGTTAAAGAGTTTAAGTATAGCCAATTGGAATTTGAGGTCTGTATATTTTATAATTTCATTGAGGATACCATCAACACCACAGGCCTTTTTGGATTGGAGGGTTTGTATTTTGTCCTGTAGTTCATTCAATGTAATTGGAGTATCCAGTGGGTTCTGGTAGTCTTTAATAGTTGATTCTAAGATCTGCATTTGATCATGTCTATTTTTTTGCTGTTTGTTCTTGGTTATAGGGCCAAAAAGATTGGAGAAGTGGTTTACCCATACATCTCCGTTTTGGATAGATAGCTCTTCGTGTTGTTTGTTTAGTGTTTTCCAATTTTCCCAGAAGTGGTTAGAGTCTATGGATTCTTCAATTACATTGAGCTGATTTCTGACATGCTGTTCCTTCTTTTTCCGTAGTGTATTTCTGTATTGTTTTAGTGATTCACCATAGTGAAGGCGTAGGGTCAGGTTTTCTGGGTCTCTATGTTTTTGGTTGGGTAGGTTTCTCAATTTCTTTCTTAGGTTTTTGCATTCTTCATCAAACCATTTGTCACTGTTGTTACCTTTCTTCGGTTTTCTGTTAGCTATTTTTAGATTTGATAGGGAAGCTGAGAGGTCAAATATACTGTTTAGGTTTTCTACTGCCAAGTTTACACCATCACTATTACACCCTCTCTCTCTCTCTCGCCTTTCTCTCGCTCTCTGTCTCCCTCTCTCTCTCTCTCGCCTTTCTCTCTCTGTCTCCCTCTCTCTCTCTCTCGCCTTTCTCTCTCTGTCTCCCTCTCTCTCTCTCTCGCCTTTCTCTCTCTGTCTCTCTCTCTCTCTCTCGCCTTTCTCTCTCTGTCTCTCTCTCTCTCCCCTTTCTCTCTCTCTCTCTCTCTCTCTCTTCTCTTCTCTTCTCTTCTCTTCTCTCTCTGCATGGGAAACGTATGTTAACATTGCCAAAGCAAGTGAAGTAGATAGTAAACAAAAGTTAAATAAATATTAACAGTAAACATTACACTCAAAGTTCCAAAAGAATAAAGACATTTCAAATGTCATGTTATGTCTATATACAGTGTTGTAACAATGTGCAAATAGTCTCGCTCTCTCTCTCGCCTCTCTCTCTCTCGCCTCTCTGTCTCTCTCTGTCTCTCTCTGTCTCTCTCTGTCTCTCTCTGTCTCTGTCTCTCTCTCTCTCTCCCTGTCACTCTTTTCCTCTCTAAAATACACACCACTCTCCTCTCCATGGTGAAAGTTGAGTAATGTGGCGTTCGTAAACAAGTGGTAGGTGAGAATTTACCAGTTGTGAAGTCATAAATACCAGTTGGATGCATTCACGCGCTTTGAACTCGTTGAAAAACGCTGATTGGCTAATAGCCAACAAGCTGCGTAAACCATAAACTAAAAGTACAACTATCATGCTTGCAAACAAATTATAGTGTTCAAAAACCATATTAATAAATAGCTTTTTATAAAAATGTTTTGTTGCATTTAACTGCTGAAAATGCTGTTTTCAAGGTGATTTCCTTAGTAAGTGACATCAGATGTCACCATGTGGGAGAAGTGGGAGCTCAGGATGATATATTAGTTTCTCACTAGTAATTACCAGTTGGAGGGCTGTTCAAATAGATTTTTTCCCAGTCGTATGCGGTAAATTCTCCCGTCCCACTTGGTTACGAATGCAGCATCATAAATTGTTATCAGCCACTCCCTAATCTACTCAAACACTAAACTGAGGGTGTTGCAGGTATGTTTACCTAGCTAGTCCACTCTGAATGGTTATGCAATACTTCCCTCCATCAAGCTAGGTGGCACATCTGAGTAAGTATTTTTAAAGAGACACCTTTCCTGACTTGTGCAGTTGAGTATTTTTTTACCAAGGGTAGAAGCCCGCTGGCAACGAGATTTTTTATACTGGCCCCCCGTGGGAATCAAACCCACAACCCTGGCGTTGCAAACGCCATGCTCTACCAACTGAGCTACATCCCTGCCGGCCATTCCCTCCCCTGGGCCAATTGTGCGCCCCCCCATGGGTCTCCCGGTCACGGCCGGCTACGACAGAGCCTGGATTCGAACCAGGATCTCTAGTGGCACAGCTAGCACTGCAATGCAGTGCCTTAGACCACTGGGCCACTCGGGAGGCCCTACTACTACTACTAATACTACCAATACTAATACTCTGTAACTACCATGACGACTGCTACCTCAGGCCAAGGGCCTGTAGAGGCTGAACTGAACTTCTACAACTTTTACAACAAATTCTGCTTCTACAACTTTCACCTCCGCTATGAACTGGGTGTTTTTGCAGGGCCTGCTTAGCAGGGTCAATAAGTACACCACGGTGTCCGGTCATATCTGGGTCTTCATCTTCAGACTCATGGTCTTCGTCGTGGCTGCTGAAAAGGTGTGGGGTGACGAAGACCGGCCTGCCACAACGTCTGTTATGACCACTTCTTCCCTGTCTCCATTCACCTCCGTCACTTGTCCCTCCTGGTCGTCCTCCACGTGGCCTAGAGTGGAAACTCCATCTGAAGTACGGCGAGGGATGCACCCGTCTCTATGACAACACAGGGACCTACTTCTTTAGTCTCTTATTCAAGATGGCGGTGGACGGCGTGTTCATCTTCCTGTTGTTTTACATCTACGAGGCGACCTTCTTCCCGCTGTCGGTGAAGTGCCCAGAGGACCCCTGTCCAGTGAAGGCTCTTAACAACACTTTGCACTGATCATTGCCATGACCCTAAGTCTTTCCTGACCAACCGTACCAGGAAAAACTCTGGGGCCTAAATAGGACTGGTGGAGTTATGTCACACATGCAGCTAATAAAAATATATGGAAATATCTGCTCTACCCGAAATTACAACCAACTAATTGCAGCATTACCGCAAAAATGGAAGAGGCAAGTGGAAGGGGGGAAAAAGTAAGGAACTTTTTGTTGGCCCTGCATTAAAGAACATAATTGGTTAAAGAAAATTGTGATAAATAAAAAAGTATACCCGTTTAATTTAAGGAACAAAAATTGACAGATGTGCCATATAAATTGCAAAATAGTTGGGAAGAGATTTTCGATGTACGCAAAACGACACCGGATTCAAAACTTAGAAATGTTCTATTTATATGATTATACAAAATTATTGCAACCAATAGAATGTTGTATACAGTGGGGAGAACAAGTATTTGAAAAGTCATAGTCAATTGATCAATAATATAATAATTATTTTAGCAAAAATGTTGATCTTTAATTTACAATCTGTAGAAACTATGAGAATAGAAAGGTTCAGGACTTTTGTGAAACATCACAGCACAGTTGAAAAATATACTGTATGTCAAATATACAGTGGGGGAAAAAAGTATTTAGTCAGCCACCAATTGTGCAAGTTCTCCCACTTAAAAAGATGAGAGAGGCCTGTAATTTTCATCATAGGTACACGTCAACTATGACAGACAAAATGAGGGAAAAAAATCCAGAAAATCACATTGTAGGATTTTTAATGAATTTATTTGCAAATTATGGTGGAAAATAAGTATTTGGTCAATAACAAAAGTTTCTCAATACTTTGTTATATACCCTTTGTTGGCAATGACACAGGTCAAACGTTTTCTGTAAGTCTTCACAAGGTTTTCACACACTGTTGCTGGTATTTTGGCCCATTCCTCCATGCAGATCTCCTCTAGAGCAGTGATGTTTTGGGGCTGTCGCTGGGCAACAGACTTTCAACTCCCTCCAAAGATTTTCTATGGGGTTGAGATCTGGAGACTGGCTAGGCCACTCCAGGACCTTGAAATGCTTCTTACGAAGCCACTCCTTCGTTGCCCGGGCAGTGTGTTTGGGATCATTGTCATGCTGAAAGACCCAGCCACGTTTCATCTTCAATGCCCTTGCTGATGGAAGGAGGTTTTCACTCAAAATCCCACGATACATGGCCCCATTCATTCTTTCCTTTACACGGATCAGTCGTCCTGGTCCCTTTGCAGAAAAACAGCCCCAAAGCATGATGTTTCCACCCCTATGCTTCACAGTAGGTATGGTGTTCTTTGGATGCAACTCAGCATTCTTTGTCCTCCAAACACGACGAGTTGAGTTTTTACCAAAAAGTTATATTTTGGTTTCATCTGACCATATGACATTCTCCCAATCCTCTTCTGGATCATCCAAATGCACTCTAGCAAACTTCAGACGGGCCTGGACATGCACTGGCTTAAGCAGGGGGACACGTCTGGCACTGCAGGATTTGAGTCCCTGGCGGCGTAGTGTGTTACTGATGGTAGGCTTTGTTACTTTGGTCCCAGCTCTCTGCAGGTCATTTACTAGGTCCCCCCGTGTGGTTCTGGGATTTTTGCTCACCGTTCTTGTGATCATTTTGACCCCATGGGGTGAGATCTTGCGTGGAGCCCCAGATCGAGGGAGATTATCAGTGGTCTTGTATGTCTTCCATTTCCTAATAATTGCTCCCACAGTTGATTTCTTCAAACCAAGCTGCTTACCTATTGCAGATTCAGTCTTCCCAGCCTGGTGCAGGTCTACAATTTTGTTTCTGGTGTCCTTTGACAGCTCTTTGGTCTTGGCCATAGTGGAGTTTGGAGTGTGACTGTTTGAGGTTGTGGACAGGTGTCTTTTATACTGATAACAAGTTCAAACAGGTGCCATTAATACAGGTAACGAGTGGAGGACAAAGGAGCCTCTTAAAGAAGAAGTTACAGGTCTGTGAGAGCCAGAAATCTTGCTTGTTTGTAGGTGACCAAATACTTATTTTCCACCATAATTTGCAAATAAATTCATTAAAAATCCTACAATGTGATTTTCTGAAGAAAAAAAATCTCAATTGATCTTTCATAGTTGGCGTGTACCTATGATGAAAATTACAGGCCTCTCTCTTCTTTTTAAGTGGGAGAACTTGCACAATTGGTGGCTGACTAAATACTTTTTTCCCCCACTGTAAATACCTCACATGTAAATGTACATGTAAATCCAATTTGGTGTTAAGAGATAGATGGAAGAGCTTGAAGGGTGGGACTAATAACAACAAGATAACTCATGTAAAAAATACTTTGTCCGTAAAATGTATTTAGGTTCAGAACTTTTGTGAAACAGCACTGTTAAAAATACAGTGAGGGAAATCCCCTGTTGATTTTGTACGTTTGCCCACTGACAAAGAAATGATCAGTCTATAATTTTAATGGTAGGTTTATTTGAACAGTGAGAGACAGAATAACAACAAAGAAATCCAGAAAAACACATGTAAAAAATGTTATAAATTGATTTGCATTTTAATGAGAGTATTTGACACCCTCTCAATCAGAAAGATTTCTGGCTCCCAGGTGTCTTTTATACAGAGAACGAGCTGAGATTAGGAGCACACTCTTAAAGGGTTTGTTACCTGTATAAAAGACACCTGTCCACAGAAGCAATCAATCAATCAGTCAATCAGATTCCAAACTCTCCACCATGGCCAAGACCAAAGAGCAGCTTGGTGAGAAGGTGACAACAGTTGGTGCGATTATTCGCAAATGGAAGAAACACAAAATAACTGTCAATCTCCCTCGGCCTGGGGCTCCATGCAAGATCTCACCTTGTGGAGTTGCAATGATCATGAGAACGGTGAGGAATCAGCCCAGAACTACACGGGAGGATCTTGTCAATGATCTCAAGGCAGCTGGGACCATAGTCACCAAGAAAACAATTGGTAACACATTACGCTGTGAAGGACTGAAATCCTGCAGAAGATCTGCAAAGAGGAGTGGAACAAAATCCCTCCTGAGATGTGTGCAAACCTGGTGGCCAACTACAAGAAATTAATAATAATATAATATAATATGCCATTTATCAGACGCTTTTATCCAAAGTGACTTACAGTCATGTGTGCATACATTTTTACGTATGGGTGGTCCCGGGGATCGAACCCACTACCCTGGCGTTACAAGCGCCATGCTCTACCAATTGAGCTACAGAGGACCACAACCACAAATCAATTTATAACATTTTTTAATGTGTTTTTCTGGATTTTGTTGTTGTTATTCTATCTCTCACTGTTCAAATAAACCTACCATTAAAATTATAGACTGATCATGTGTCACGGATTCTGCCGAGGCTGCTCCTCCCCCTAGTTCGGGCAGGCTTCGGCGTTCGTCGTCCCCGGAGTACTAGCTGCCACCGTTGAATGTTTCTATGGTTGATTGCTTTTGTCTGTCTATTACACCTGTGTCCGTTTGTGTCTGATTACGTGTTCTATAAGTTGCCTGTTTTGTATTGGTTAGGTTGTGTGTTGTTTTTCGCCTGTCCGTAGTGCTGCGTGTTTTTTCTCTGTTTTGTTGTTTTGTTGTTTTACGCATAGTTTGCGTAATTGCTCGCCTCTGTTTTGTTTGAGGCCGATCATTGTATCTTTGCCTTGTGGTTTCACAAAGTAAACTTTGTTGGACTAAGCTTCGGTGTCCTGCGCCTGACTCCCACACCACATACACCTCAGCCTTGACAGAACAACACACCAGTATGGAGTCAGCAGGAGCAGCGGCGGCACCCAAGTCGCTGGAGGATCGGATCAGCGACCAAGACACCATGATCCGGCAACTTGGGGCCGCCATGAACGAGGTGTCCAACACTCTGCGCCGGTTGGTTACGGGAGAGATGCCCACGCCTTCTCACACCATACCATCACCAACGGCCAGTCCTCCTCTCCCAGCACCGGAACCCAGTGGCATTCGGCTCTCGCTCTCGAGGGCATATGATGGTTCTGCAGCCGGGTGTCAGGGGTTCCTCCTGCAGGTGGAACTCTACCTGGCCACCATACACCCAGCGCCCTCGGGATACGAGAGCGTCTCCGCCCTCATCTCCTGTCTATCCGGCAAGGCGTTGGAGTGGGCCAACGCCGAATGGAGGGGAATAGACGCCGCTACCATCACCTACGCGGAGTTCTCCCGCCGCTTCAGGGCTGTGTTCGATCATCCACCTGAGGGGAAGGCGGCGGGGGAGCGTCTGTTCCACCTCCGACAGGGGAAGAGGAGCGCACAGGAGTTCGCCCTGGAGTTCCGGACTCTAGCGGCGGATGCGGGGTGGAATGAGAGGGCCCTCATCAACCATTACCGGTGTAGCCTACGAGAGGACGTTCGTCGTGAGCTGGCCTGCAGGGACACCAACCTATCCTTCGACCAGTTGGTGGACATCTCCATCCGTCTCGACACCCTGCTGGCTACCCGCGGACGTCCCGAGTGGGGGTCGTCCATTCCACCCTCCAGCACCTCCGAGCCGATTCCCATGGAGCTCGGAGGTGCTGGCGCTAGAGAGAGGAGGAGAGAGAACCCGAGGGGGGCCATCCCCTGCACCAACTGTGGCCGTGGAGGACACACTGCGGCCAGGTGCTGGGGAGGGTCTCCTGGGAGAGGGGACAACAGGTCACGCACTGGGGAGTCATTTCAGGTGAGTAGGCGCCCCACTTACCCAGAGCTCTCTGTTGGTCACATGTGTATACCTGTGAGATTTCCACAGGTGGCACCTCAGTCCCAGCATAAGGCGCTAGTAGATTCAGGCGCAGCTGGGAATTTTGTTGATCGTGAATTTTGTTATAGGTTAGGAATTCTCCTTCGGCCGGTAGAAGCCCCCTTTCCTGTTCATGCCCTAGACAGCCGGCCGTTGGGGTCGGGGTTGATCAGAGAAGTCACAGCGCCACTTAAGATGACGACGCAGGGGGGTCATGAGGAGATCATTCAGTTTTATCTGATTGACTCTCCTGCG